GTTACAATTTAGATAAGAACTACTCTTTTACTTATCGTTTCATCTTTTCCTAATTAACATTTATAAAGGTTAAATTCCATACCCTTGCATTTATTCCAACTATTTTCAACTGCAGATTTTATATATGTTAATTAACTATATAAAAGCATTTAAATACCGAATCAAAAACGTAAATTCGAGTACGTAACTACCTTTAGATAGTTTTTTTTTGTCTCTAATTTTCATTGTTACGTACCTCAACAAAACGTACACAAACAGCAAAAGTAAACAAACTGGGAAAGTAAGTATGATAATAATATTAGAAAAATTATAACAAGCAATGCCTTGAATATAGAAAAGCGAATATAATCAAAAAAAAAAAAACAGAATAACAGAAATAGAAAATAATATAAATAAAAGTATAAAACTATATAGGAAAAAAGCTAAACTCGTTAGCTTGGGGTTCGTCTGTACGTATACGTAACCTTGTCTTCTAGAGAGAAAAAAAAAAGGGAAAAAAAAGAAAAATTATAATAATAAGAGGAAAATTGTTACGTGCTGCAAGCGATCAATTCAATGTTTTCATGAACTTTTAATGTACAAATGCTTACGCTATGTTTAGGTTGGTTACATTTCAAGAAAAATTTAGTTTTTAGTATTTATTTTTATTTTTACTATTTTAACGAAATTATCGAAAAGGCTTTTCCTTCACGCTGTGCGTTTTGGAAATTTCTTTTCAATTTCGCAAATTGTTTGAAAATTGAAGACATATAACTTATAATTTCATGTTTACTCAATGTTAACAACTGTGATTGATATTTTCTTTCTACCTTGATTGGATTGTGTTATTTTTCAAGTTTAGTTAGTTTCACCGGTATTTCACGTGGAATATGTATCTTCTCATTTCTGTACAGGGAGGTGACAGCGGCGCTAAATTACTAAGAATTGACTTGTCGCGTGTCGAGCACAAAAGAATTTTTTTCTTCATTTTTTTATATATATATTCCTTCCAACAATCATATCCCAAAAGGTGTTGAATAATAATTTTACTCTTTTATTTTGATTTCGGTCGAAATGTAAATATATGATTTTCTTGTTAAAATGTGATTTTTATAAATTGGATTTTATATCGAAATAGAAATTCCCATTTATGATTACATAGTAATGCATTTATAATCATGGTTTAATAATTTTCTTCATTCTGTTTTCACACCTTAGTTAGTATGGTAAATGTATAATTAAATTTCTGTAATTTAACAATACAATTTATTTATTGTTATAAAAACAAAAACATTAGAATAATTTCAACTAATTATAGTAAACACCGATTGCTTATGACATCATACAACGAACGTATAGATTTCAAGTTGCAGTATATCTACACTATAATGAAATTTTTAATCTTTACTAAGTGCCATAAAATTCAAAATGAAAACGTAATATGTTAGAAAATATATTAGGAAATTAATAACAAAATTATAGGAAATACATGGGTTTTAATCTCATGAAAACAAAAGTTTTACAATTTCTGTTATCTATAACAATATATCTGTTTTAATTTATCATATCACTTAGTATAGAATCGAGCGATCCTTTGCAATTAATAACACAAGTTATGAAATTATTATTGTATCCATATAGACATTTTTGAGATTGCAGTAAAAGAAAGACTTAGTCAATCAATGAAAACAATGGTATATAGGATGTTAGATATAAGATTTGCACATAAACTTAAAGCAGTACTTAAAAAACGTGGAACTTTGGCAGGCTAAAGAACAATAACTTTAAAAAAAATTAAAGAGTGACCAAAAAGACGAAGATTCTAACTGTTATACTATGTGTACAATTAGATTTAACAAGGCAAGAAACCGTTTTAGCATATTTTGATAAAAAATTTTGTATGGATTTTGTATGAAAAATGGAACATATGACTAAACATAACTTTAAATTATATATTATACCAAAGAGTTGAAACCATATCAAACATTTTTTTAAAACACTTTCTGCAAAAGTTTTAAAGATTAAAAAATAGTTAAAGAGCTCCAAAAAAAAACGAAAATTATAACAATTATACTATACTCGTATTTAGATCGTATGATCCAAAAAAAAAGAAAATTGTAACTATTATACTATGTTCACACTTTATCAAACCTTTTCGGTACATTTGGATAAAGATTTGTATATATAGCTCCAAATCAGTTATCATAACAAAGTGCTAAAGCAATATAGTCAGTTTTTTTTATTAAATTGCAATTATTATTCAATTATTCAATAGCTGGTTTTTGATTACGTTCATATATAACACAGCTTTAATGAGCTTTGATAGAAAATTAACACTACTTTAAGTTTAAACATATAAGTCAAGTACGGATTTGGATTAGTTGGCTATGAAACGCTCACTCTTAGCTTCAAATTTGACAGGGTACAAGCTCAATTCTTAGTACTTGCAATCATTATTTATGAATAAATAAATATATGAAATAATTCCAAGACCACTGATTATGGGTATTTGGCAATACTCGAAACAGTTGTATGGTCAGCCAAAAATACAACTAATAAAAATATTTAAAAAAAAATTTATTGTAGTACTTCACTACTGTAAATTAGCACGTAAAGTTTTTTATTTAATTGCATTTAAATAAATCAAGAAAGAACTGCAACCAGATTAATTTCTAAATTCATCATTTTAAAGAATATAAAATTATCTCAACATCTTACTATGTATGTATGTATAACATTATGGTTTTTTTTTATAATTTAATATAATTTAATTTTTCTTAAGGTAAGTTTTTACAAAAAATCCAATATTCAGCAATTATAGATAATGAACAATATATATATAAACTGAGAAAAAATAATAATTAAATATAGAAGAAATTATTAAAAATGTTAGGTTCTTTCAGTTTATTATAGAACGATCTTAAATGCAGTTACCAGTTTTACGTTTCTTTGTTTAAACCAATACAAACCAAGTAAACTTCTCCAATAATAGAGATACTATCACAGTTACAACACCATTAAGAACGTGTTAAACACATTTTTTAAGAAGTATATAGACATTTAAACATAATTTTTAATTTCAATGTTCTATAAAATATTACAAGTATCCACGATCTCGCGTAACATTCTCGGTAATGGAATAACGTAGTAACAGCGCAAAGTAGCAACAATAAATATATTTCAACTACATGTATTTAATTATAATAATTTACAGTGTTACCATGTTAATCGATTATTGAGTCCATTACTGGACTACCGAGCCAGTTACTGGATTACAAAGTCCGGTACTGAACTATCAAGTCTGTTTTGGAGCTACCAAGTGAGTCCGTTACTGTCTATTTACGACTAACAAGTGGGTCGGTTACTGAACTATAAAGTCCGTTTCTAAACTACCAAGTGAGTCCGTTATTGAACTACCGATTGTATCTGGTACTGGATTCTCTAGTGAGTCTTTTACTGGACTACCGAGTGAGTTTGTTTCTTAACTACAGTCCGTTACTGGATTACCGATTGTGTCTGTTACTGGATTACTGAGTAAGTCTTTTAGTGGACTAACGAGTGAGTTTGTTTCGGAACTACCGAGTCCATTACTGGATTACCGAGTCCGTTACTGGACTACAGAGTCCTTTACTGGACCGTTACTGGACTACCGAGTCTTTTACTGGACCATTACTGGACTATCGAGTCCGTTACTGGATTACCGAGTCCGTTACTGCATTACTGAGTCTGTTACTGGATTACCGAATCCGTTACTGGACTATCGGGTCTGTTACTGGACTACTGAGTCCGTTAAGGGACTACCGAATCCGTTATTGGACTACCGAGTCCGTTACTAGATTACCGAATCCGTTACTGGACTATCGAGTCCTTTACTGAACCGTTACTGGATTACCGAATCCGTTACTAGACTATTTAGTCCATTACTAGACTACTTAGTCCGTTACTGGACTACTGAGTCCGTTACTGGACTACTGAGTCCGTTACTGGACTACTGAGTCCGTTACTGGACTACTGAGTCCGTTACTGGACACCCGGTTCCGTTACTGGACTACTGAGTCCGTTACTGAACTACTGATTTCGTTACTGGACTACCGAGTCCGTTACTTGAACATTCGATTGCCAAGTCCGTTGCTCGAATATTCGATTACCAAATCCGTAACTCGAGTATTTGATTGCGGAGTCCGTTACTCGAATAATTGATTGCGGAGTCCGTTACTCGAATTCGATTACCGAGTCCATTATTCGAATATACGATTACCAAGCCCGTTACTCGAGATCGTGAATTTCATTATTACATACATTATATTCACATTTCTAACTCTAAACCAAACTCAGAAGAGTATATATAAATGATACGACTATATTATACGACTATTACAGATAATAGAAGGAATATGGAAGTTATATATAAAAAAGTACAAAGATTATTATGTGGTAGTTTTAAATGAGTAGATAAGTTTTTTATGTAAGAAACAATAACAATACACATAAGGAGTAAGGAGTAAAGAAAGTGAATTGAGAGAAGTGGTGAAATAGCAGTAAAGAAGTAGATATTTATAGAGATGAAAACTAATTATATTATATATACCTAAAATAAAGATATGGTATATATGTGCAAAATTTTGATAAAAGCTAAAACAGCACAGAAATGGAAATATTTTGAAAAAATACAAAAACTAATTAAATTACAAATACATCACAACAATCACGGATGAAAAAGGACACACGTACACACAAACACACACTATAAAATTTAAATACATAAAAACTTTATCACTTTTTGTATTCAAATTGTCTAAAGGTAAAAGATACAATTGTTAGCGCTACATAAAAGTCAGTTTACTTTAAAAACAAATAAAAAATAACTTTTATTTGCATTTAATCCAAATCAAATAGCGATTAGCAAATTTACGACAAAGATAACAACAATTGTTTGCTTTTATTTAATTTGAAATCCGTTTACTACATAAGAGAGTGAAAGAGCTAACAACAATCATTCATTCAATTAAGTATGTAAATACCGAATTCCGCTACAAAGAAATCCCGCAATTTCAATTTAGATTTTTTTGGTTCTTCACGTGGGTGATGCACCGTAATTTGATCACCATCTGCTGAAATCATAGTTTCACTCTGTGGTGATATCGCATATTGTTGCAATAAACGTTTTTCCTGCTCTTGCAGTTCTTCAGCAGTTGGCGCTTCTGAAGTCGGCGAGCGCGCATCTTGTTTCTTCTCTTTTTCTAATTCCAACATATGCTGAGCTACAAGTAATTTTTGTGCTTGTTCTTCAGCTTCTTTTTGTTTTCGATAATCTTAGTTTTAATTTTATTGCACAAATTACAATTATGTAAGATTATATAAAGATGCAATAGATGCGGAAGTAGTTTTTTTAAAATAATCGAGTAATTTTATAATGTGGATGCATTGTCAGAAATAGATAAATATTTTATTGATAATTAGATATATTTTTTTAATTGCAATATATTTGTAGAAAAAAAAGTAATAATAAAAGTCATTAAATAATAAAAATTATATATGATAAATTAAAAAATAAATGAAACAATCACACAAACTCACACTTGAATATAAAATAAATTTATTTACCATATACTTTTATAGCTAGATTAATATCTTTTGCTTCTTAAGTAGTAAATTTAGGTAAATATCTTAGGTAAATATTGTAAGATGTGATAAGTTGAGTTTCAATTTCTACTTTGTAGTATATTTATTTCATTTAAGTTGATATTTTTGAGCTCTGATAAAAAGTCAGTCACCTAGAGTGATAGTGGGTAGTAGAGCGAAAGTCAAGCTAGAACCAGCCAGATGCATTTATAAATGCAAAAATCTAACCAATGCCAATGCTAGAAAGATCGCCGAGTGTGTTGAAGCAGGGGTCCCCAAAAACTTAAGCCTAGTTCTGGCCAAACCTAGACATAGACACATCAGGTGTTCTGATGTCCTTTCTTCGAGAGTTGGTAGATACGCATTACAGGAGATAACACAGGAAAGGCCAAGTCTAGCTCCATGCCGTCCTATGGTTCAGTGCTCTGTAAAGTCAGATATTAACCTAGATACCTCTGATTTGCTACTGTGTATTAAGTCAGAGGTTCTACATTATACCAAATGTAGCCCTTGACCTGGTTACTGAGGCAGCAAGAGTCCACTCACTATTTGACAGATCGAAAGTAAATTTAGATTAAATGCAGACTTACCATTCGAAAACGCCATTAGTTATACTGAAGAACACAAAAGAAATGAAGAAATGAAATAAAGTTTATTACTTTATTGAGTCTACATACTACGCCTTCCTTAACTTAATATGTACCTGTTATCGTTACTAACCCTATAGTATATATAGCAACTTGTCAATCAGTTTAATTAAACCACTTAATAAGCAAACAAAGTAAAAACTTGATTTTATATTTAAATACTCGAAATAGCACAGGTAAAATCATAAAGTGGAAAACACATAAGTGGTAGCACATCCATAGAGAATCAAAATATAGAAAGCAATGAATTCGTGCGTATGTCTTTAACAAGTTAATCTATTGTTATATATTTTCTGTCAAGCACAAGAATTGAAGCTAGAAAATATTGAAAGACAACAAAAAACAGATGTTCTTCAACAAATCACAGATTTTTGTAGTAAAATGCATACTTTTTAAAAGAGAAGAATATTTTTCACCAAATAAAATTATCGATAAAGAAAACAGTATTAAAAGCAATTACAATAAAAGTAAAAACAAACACGATTCAAGTACTAGTGAACAATTGAACCAAAATGCCTATATATATATAAACCTACAAAATAAAATTTAAATAAAGAATAGATATTGAGTGAAAGAATGCTTAATTAAAAAACCTCAGATTCGGTTTTTGTACCTAAATAGAGAACAAAAGTATTACAGATCATTTTTGTACTAGGGTTTCTACCCTCGATATTGTTATATACTTTCCAACCATTCCATTAACAAACAGTTGGTGGTGTTATATGTATACATTTCTAACTTCAAATGAGTGAATGCTTGAACCTAGAAATTGATATTCTGTTTTGTATGTTTAACACTACCATAGGTTTGAAATAGTAACCAGAGCAATGTGACATTGGGTTCATTTTTAAAGAGTCAATTTGTACGTCTAAATTTATAATTGAGTATTATTGAAGAGTTATTGAAAATAGTGTTTCACATGTCGAATATTGTAAAAATAATTTGCTATAATTTTATAAATTATCTTCATGTAATTTATTTATTATTATTATTTATTGAAAAGTGTACACTGCAAGCAAATATATACAATAATGCAAGCAAAGGCTCTCACCTAAAGTTTAATGAAGCATATTATGCATGAACTTATTAATTATAATAGAATAACTTATCCGAAAAGATATGAAAGATAATTTGCTTTTGAGAAGATTAACCATAGGGATGATAGATTTTTAATGTTCATATTTGACGAAAAAAACTTATTTCTTAATATAAACTATTGTTTCTATTGTAACTATTGTCTCTATTGTAATAGAGAGATTTTTATCGATCAATAGCGAAATTGCAACAACAAAAATCATTTTATTTTTGTTTTAATTTTTAAATAATTGAAAATTGAAAGCATAAAGATGATGCTATCTGAGGTAATTACTGAAAAGATTTGTTAAAAATTTAGTGATATATGTTGCGATGACTTCAATATGAGCAGCACTGAAGAAGGAAATGAATGAAAATGGAAACACTGCATAATATTGGTTGTATGCCGTTAAACAGATGTAATAGAATAATGCTGGATAATTGGTTTTAATTAATTTTAATCAGGTAAGAATCAATTTTAATAAAGTTTATCTGTATATAAAGCCGTTTTGCATGTTGGAATGGCTACAAAGTAATGGCTGTTTCATGCTAGACCAGATCAAAGTTTATAACTGAATTATATTAATACCTTACACTAAAGATCATTCAAATTTAACATGGAAAAGTGATATAGCAGCATTTTTAGCAGCCACATTAACTTGGAGAGGTAAAATGCAGAGGTTCTTTTGCTCTAAGGTAGGATACTTTGTTAAATTCATTAAATCCTATAATTCTTTGTGACCAAAAAGAAATAGTAATAATAGTAATATAATATTTGATTTTCTAGTTATTCTTGCTGAACTAAAACACCACCTTACAAGACTGGGTATACTTGCAGATGCAAACTGTAGATTCTGTGAAAAGAATGAGGAGTCGGCCACACATGTGCTGTTAGTATGCCCTGCGCTAATGTACATACGGTATAAGCTCCTGGTAATGTATATTCTTACGGAAGAGACAATAAAACTATGTAAAGTAGTAAAACTGTGCATACTGCTTTTTATTGACGCAACAGGGTTGAGAGACCTACTATAAACCCAAAAGGAGGCACAATATACCCGACGGTAGCAGCGCCACATCCCCTAACAATAATAAATATACTTACTGAACAATTTAAAGCTATAAAAATATACTAAACTATACAGTATATATTTTTTATTTTACTTTTTACACAATTAAATAACCATTTTTAAATTCTACAATATTTGATTTCAAATAAACAAAACAATTAGTTTTCTATTTTCACAAAATGTAGAAATTCATTATTTTTGTAAACAATTAAATTCTTACATTAAGAAAATATTGGACGTTAATTGAAAATGTAAAAATTGTAAATATAAGAAAAATAAATATTTTGAAATTGAAATTTAAGCGAAAATAAATTGCGACTTCATACCGATTGGTGCCGATATCAACGAAATCATATTTGTGTATCTGATTGAAGCAAGAAAAATAACTGAATGTGCTCTTTTTTATTGACAGATACATTTTACGAGATTCTGTTGACAAATATAGTGAACATTTCATATATTAGAGCAAGTAATTTTAATTTGAAAATATCTAGTATCTTTTTTTGCCATCGGATGCATTAATAATTTCCAATAAATTGAAAAATTCATTAGCTCTAGTGTAATAAATTGCGTTCGAATAAATTGTAAAAAAAAAATTTATTAAAAAAAAAAAACAATTTGTAAGATACTTTATAAAATTGATGCCAAAGCCATCTTAACTGCACAGATACACTAGCATATTATATGCCTGGCGTAATCATTACTTAATTTTAACTTTTTTTCCTCAATTTTCAATTTAAGTAAATTGAAATTTATCGACGTTACATGAAATTCACCATCTATGATGAGACGATGACACAGAGGAGGTGGAGGAGGCGGAGTGGAAGAAGGCTGAGGCGACGGCGAGATAAATAAAGCAATTTATATTATAACACCGTTACCGCATTGATAAGTGTAACAACTCTACGCCAATTTTTGCACAAATTGAAATTGGTAGAAAAAAAGTATATATATATATATAATATATATATATATACTTAATGGCATAAGGTGCAACTAAAAAGTGTTATCATTCTGTTGATATAATATTGTCTCGGTACGGCAATTTCGAACGTAAACTAAATTGAATAAAGAAAAATGAAATTTCAACCTATAAATGAAATGACGACTAAATTTACACAAAAGTTATTTTTTTTTTGTTTTTTGAGTAATTTTTATAAAATTTCTTCAGCACTCACTCTTCTCAATTACAATTCAATTCAATATAAATGGAGGCAATAATAATCACAATAAAAATAGAAATGGATGAACTTTGTGTCGTAGAAATTGATGACAAGAGCTTGAAATATTTGTAGTAATTGAACACAGATACAGAAACACATTTAATTTCTAATAAAAAATAGAAAAGAAAAATAAAAAAAATAAAAAAAATAAAAATAAATAAATAGGAACTCAATTTATTATCAAGACTATCAATATTCATTCAATTTTTATTTATATGAAGTATTATTAAATGTTTTGAAAGTATTATAAAAGAATAAAATAAAATTGTTATTACACTTTCTTAAGTGAAAATGATGTTTCAAGTGATCATTATAAACTTACCAAAGCAAAAAACTTATAATTATAATTAAACTTTAATAAACTAATTTTTTTATATATAATATCTTCGAAATTGTTTTTTAAACAATTACTAGTTTTTTCATTTTTTTTTTTTTGATTATAAAAAGCTTTTAATAAAATAAAATAATTTTCTACTCTAGCAAAAGAATTAAAGTCTTTATTGTGATTAACGAAAAGACATTATTTTAATCACATAACTACTTTATCGGTTTACTTTTCTTGAACTTTAAAACAACATTCAAACAATTCGAAATCTTATGATACTAAATTTCGGGATCTTCAAAATTTACCCTTAATGCGGTGATCAGTTCTTTATTTCTGACAAATATTTTTTTG